AGTGTGGTAGAGCTAGGGGTTGTACTAGTGACTGACTGGCTAGTGTGGTAGCGCTAGGGGTGGTACTAGTGACTGACTAGTGTGGTAGAGCTAGGGATGGTACTAGTGACTGGCTGGCTAGTGTGGTAGAGCTAGGGGTGGTACTAGTGACTGGCTAGTGTGGTAGAGCTAGGGGTGGTGCTAGTGACTGACTGGCTAGTGTAGTAGAGCGAGGGGTGGTACTAGTGACTGACTGGCTAGTGTGGTAGAGCTAGGGGTGGTGCTAGTGACTGACTGGCTAGTGTGGTAGAGCTAGGGGTAGTACTAGTGACTGGCTAGTGTGGTAGAGCTAGGGGTGGTACTAGTGACTGGCTGGCTAGTGTCGTAGAGCTAGGGGTGGTACTAGTGACTGACTGGCTAGTGTGGTAGAGCTAGGGGTGGTACTAGTGACTGGCTGGCTAGTGTGGTAGAGCTAGGGGTGGTACTAGTGACTGGCTAGTGTGGTAGAGCTAGGGTTGGTACTAGTGACTGGCTAGTGTGGTAGAGCTAGGGGTGGTACTAGTGACTGACTAGTGTGGTAGTGCTAGGGGTGGTACTAGTGACTGGCTGGCTAGTGTGATAGAGCTAAGGGTGGTACTAGTGACTGGCTGGCTAGTGTGGTAGAGCTAGGGGTGGTACTAGTGACTGGCTGGCTAGTGTGTTAGAGCTAGGGGTGGTACTAGTGACTGACTGGCTAGTGTGGTAGTGCTAGGGGTGGTACTAGTGACTGGCTAGTGTGGTAGAGCTAGGGGTGGTACTAGTGACTGGCTAGTGTGTTAGAGCTAGGGGTAGTACTAGTGACTGGCTAGTGTGGTAGAGCTAGGGGTGGTACTAGTGACTGACTGGCTAGTGTGGTAGTGCTAGGGGTGGTACTAGTGACTGGCTAGTGTGGTAGAACTAGGGGTGGTACTAGTGACTGCCTGGCTAGTGTGGTAGAGCTAAGGGTGGTACTAGTGACTGACTGGCTAGTGTGGTAGAGCTAGGGGTGGTACTAGTGACTGGCTGGCTAGTGTGGTAGATCTAGGGGTGGTACTAGTGACTGGCTGGCTAGTGTGGTAGAGCGAGGGGTGGTACTAGTGACTGGCTGGCTAGTGTGGTAGAGCTAGGGGTGGTACTAGTGACTGACTGGCTAGTGTGGTAGAGCTTGGGGTGTTACTAGTGACTGACTGGCTAGTGTGGTAGAGCTTGGGGTGGTACTAGTGACTGGCTGGCTAGTGTGGTAGAGCTTGGGGTGGTACTAGTGACTGGCTAGTGTGGTAGAGCTAGGGGTGGTACTAGTGACTGGCTAGTGTGGTAGAGCTAGGGGTGGTACTAGTGACTGGCTGGCTAGTTAGTTGAGGCTAGGCGTAGTGCTAGTTATTAGTTCCTGCTTGGGTTACTGGCGAGTTATGGATAGTATTTATTAGTGGCTGGTTGAATATCTTAAGCCTCGTACTCGTGACTGACTGGACAGTTAGCAGCGGCTGGTTTGGCAGTAGGCAAGGGCTCGAGGTTTGACGCTCGATCCTGTGGCTGGCTCGGTAGTTGAAGAAAGCGGTCTCATTGGCGATGGGAGTGAGGCTCAGGGTGTGTTCTCATGCCGGCGTCTGCTCGGCCACAAGGTTGGTCTGACATTCGGTGGCATGAGGGCCAGTGACTCACTGGCCATTAGGCGAGTGCTGCTGGCCGGTTGGCGAGTTGGTTCGGTTCGTTTCGGCAAAGTCACGGAGGTTTAAAATCAAATAAATCACGACGTTTCGGGCGCAACACAAGGGTCCGTCCCACCTGATGACGGACGCTTGTGTTGCGCCCGAAACGTCGTATATAAATTTTATTTTATACCTACATGACTTTACCGAAAGATCCAAAGTGTATAGATTCCTGCGGTCACGAAAGCTTAAAACCAAGATTGAGTTGGTTCGGGTTAGCGGTCGTGCTACACAGCTACAGCATTCATTTGTCTTGGCTAAGACCCCCCTCCATCCCCCCCCCCCCCCCCCCCATGCTTCTCATCTCCACGTCTTGCTCGCGACCTCCCTCCTGCGTCCCGCACTCCACACGGATCAGCAGCAGCAGCAGCAACAGCAGGAGGACGTCCCCCTGCCTGCCTTTGTGTCGCCTGCCCCTAATTAATTAATTAATCTCCCGGCCACTCCCCCCCTCCCCCCTCTGCCCCCCCCCCTCTCGCCCCCCCTCGTCCCCCCTCTCGCCCCCCCCGCCCCCTCCCCTCTTGCCCTCTCGCCCCCCCTCTCGCCCTCCGCCTCCCCCTCTTGCCCCCCCCTCTCGCCCCCGCCCCTCCCCTCGAGCCCCCCCTCTCGCCCCCGCCCCTCCCCTCTAGCCCCCATTCTCGCCCCTCGCCCCCCCCCTCTCGCCCTCCGCCCCCCCCCTCTCTCCCTCCGCCTCCCCCTCTTGCCACCCCCTCTCGCCCCCCCTCTCGCCCCCGCCCCTCCCCTCTAGCCCCCCCTCTCGCCCCTCGCCCCCCCTCTCGCTCCCCGCCCCCCCTCTTTCCCCCCACACCCCCCCTCTCGCCTCCCCGCCCCCCCCCTCTCGCCCCCTCCCCCGCCCCCCCCCCTCTCGCCCCCCCCGCCCCCCCTCTCGCCCCACCCCCCACCCCCGCCCCCCTCCCCTCTCGTGCAGGGAGTTTCGGGGCTGGGCTCGCTCGAGGGATCCGGCCGCCCGCGAGCCGCGAGCCAACAGCAGCAGCAGCACGCCGCCTGCAAACCATTAGCGGGGAGATGAAAGCGGTCGGGCTAAGGGGCAGCCCCGCCTCCTCCCTCCTCCCCCCCCCCCCACGAACCCCCACGACTAATGGCCAGAGGAAGTCAGATTTTTCGTTGTCTCATCGCGTGGTGGTGTGTGTGTGTAGGGGGTGTGTGTGTGTCGGGTGTGTGTGTATGTGTGTCGTGTGTGTGTGTAGGGGGTGTGGTGTGTGTCGGGTGTGTGTGTAGGGTGTGTGTAGGGGGTGTGTGTGTCGAGTGTGTGTAGGGTGTGTGTGTGTAGGGTGTGTGTGTAGGGTGTGTGTGTGTGTAGGGTGTGTGTAGTGTGTGTGTATGGTGTGTGTGTAGGGGGTGTGTGTGTCGGGTGTGTGTAGGGTGTGTGTGTGTAGGGTGTGTGTGTAGGGTGTGTGTAGGGTGTGTGTAGGGGGTGTGTGTGTCGGGTGTGTGTAGGGTGTGTGTAGGGTGTGTGTGTAGGGTGTGTGTGTGTGTAGGGTGTGTGTAGTGTGTGTGTATGGTGTGTGTGTAGGGGGTGTGTGTGTCGGGTGTGTGTAGGGTGTGTGTGTAGGGTGTGTGTAGGGTGTGTGTGTGTAGGGTGTGTGTGTAGGGTGTGTGTAGGGTGTGTGTGTGTGGTGTAGGGTGTGTGTGTAGGGTGTGTGTAGGGTGTGTGTGTGTAGGGGGTGTGTGTAGGGTGTGTGTGTGTGTCGGGTGCGTGTAGGGTGTGTGTGTGTAGGGTGTGTGTGTAGGGTGTGTGTGTGTAGGGTGTGTGTGTAGGGTGTGTGTGTAGGGGGTGTGTGTATCGGGTGTGTGTAGGGTGTGTGTGTAGGGTGTGTGTGTGTAGGGTGTGTGTGTAGGGTGTGTGTGTAGGGTGTGTGTGTAGGGTGTGTGTGTAGGGGGTGTGTAGGGTGTGTGTGTAGGGTGTGTGTGTGTAGGGTGTGTGTGTAGGGTGTGTGTAGGGGGTGTGTGTATCGGGTGTGTGTAGGGTGTGTGTGTAGGGTGTGTGTGTGTAGGGTGTGTGTGTGTGTAGGGCGTGTGTGTAGGGTGTGTGTGTGTAGGGGGTGTGTGTGTCGTGTGTGTGTGTCGGGTGTGTGTGTAGGGTGTGTGTGTGTAGGGTGTGTGTGTGTAGTGTGTGTGTAGGGTGTGTGTGTGTAGGGTGTGTGTGTGTAGGGTGTATGTGTGTGTGTGTCGTGTGTGTGTGTAGGGTGTGTGTAGGGTGTGTGTGTAGGGTGTGTGTGTGTAGGGTGTGTGTAGGGTGTGTGTGTGTGTGTAGGGTGTGTGTGTGTAGGGTGTGTAGGGTGTGTGTAGGGTGTGTGTGTGTTGGGTGTGTATGTAGAGTGTATGTGTGTAGGGGTGTGTATGTGTGTATGTGTAGGGTGTGTGTGTGTGTAGGGTGTGTGTGTGTAGGGAGTGTGTGTGTAGGGTGTGTATGTGTGTGTAGGGTGTGTGTGTATGTGTGTATGTGTAGGGTGTGTGTGTGTAGGGTGTGTGTGTGTAGGCTGTGTGTGTGTGTAGGGTGTGTGTGTGTAGGGTGTGTATGTGTGTATGTGTAGGGTGTGTGTGTGTGTGAGCTCAGATGGATTGGAGCGGTGGTGTAGTGGTTAGCGCGCTGTGCTACGAACCTGGCGACCCGAGTTCGATTCCCGCTCATCGGCCAACACCGGTGACGATTATCTGAACCGGTCGTGGGTTTCCTCTAGATTGACTCAGCCTCAAACGACTACCTGGTTTACTGTGTAAACATCGCCTGGTTTACTGTGTACACAAAGACGGCCTGGCGTGCTTCTGGCCACCCACGACCTTTATAGGTGCTCGCTAACAGCACTTGCCCCAACAGTCTGTTAAGGCTACCTGGGGAATCGTTGTCATTGCTCAGATATCTGTCAGCCGTTGGTCTATCCACTGCTGGATGAAGGCCACCCTCCCCATGCTGACGTCATCACACGCGGTGGTCGTCCTTCTAGGGCGAGCTCCCGACTTCGGCTGCGACTCCATCGTGAGCCTCCGTCACGCCTCCGAGTTAGGACGGTTGGCTACGTACGGTGCGAAGGAAGTTCAACACACGTACTGTGGGCTGGTGTCTTTAAACTTAATTTGAAGCTTTCGTGACTAGCAGGAATTACTCTTTGGTTCTTTCGGTAAAGTCACGTATAAAGAGAAAATAATAAATTAAATACTAGCATACGACGTTTCGATTGCAACACAAGCAATCATCATCAGGTATAAATGAAATAGAAACACAAATCTAGTATACTTAGAAATGTAATGTAATACAACAGCGAGTCGGATAACATAACAGTCAACACCCTGCCTGGTTGATTACGTTCTTCCTGAGAATGCTAAATTTGAGAGAGAGATAAAACACAGAACCAGAGACATATAGGCAGTCCTATAAGCAGACATATATCACAGAGATACATAGAGAGAGAGAAACACATACATAATTTTGACCATTCACGGAGGAGATGCGGCCCATCGGCCTGTTGATGTTCTTTTTTGATGAATGTAAAGACATCCCACGTGACATTGATAGTGCCGTTTAATGTGAATTCAAGCGCCTTTTTAAAAATCAGGGCCCCTATACGTCACTTGGGACAAAGGCTCTCCAAGTTTAATTCATTAAAACACTTCACCTGGATAATTCTTGGAGATGGAGCATCTCATTTGATGATGGGTGTTCAGGGTGTCAATTCATCCTTCGAACGGATTTAGTGTCACGTAAAGTTCGCGAGCATCATCATCATCACGTTTTCCTGCCCAAGCCCGACTTCTGTGAACATTCAATGCGATGTCTCAAACTTGCTGCATGTGTCCTCCGATCCATGTGTTGCTCTTTCTGCCGCTTGGTGTAAATTCATTCGCAAGCGTCGGGGCTGTCCACGACTTTTGCAGCTTTTTGTTCCGTCCGTGCCAAAGGAATTGAGCCTCCACAGTTCTTCCTGCATGGGTTTACTCGCCAACCAACTAAGAAAAACAACAACAACAACAACAACACATTACTTCCTAGAACAAAACCGCACGTTGGCAACATTCTCCAGAATCCATGCGTATGCATGTTTTTTTGTTATCCTTCACTGTTGTCACCATAGCAGATTATTATTTCTCGACTGGACCACCCCATCTTACAGACCTCGCTATGGCGAGGTCGCGTGAACGCAACGTGAGCACACCCGTCACCCTGATGGAACACTGCCCTGGGGCCACGATTGGGAATTTAACAGCGAGATGTGGGGGGGAGGGAGTCAGGGGGGGATGGAGGAGGAGTGGGGGGAGGGGTGGAGTCGGGGTGGTGGGGGGGCAGACAGGATGCGCTCAATGAGTTGATTTACAGCCCCTTTGTCAATCCACTGCTGGATGAAGGCCTCCCTACACGCCGTGTCGGTCGCGAGATGTGTTCGACCATACTTCACCAGGCTGGTCGGTGCGGGTTGCTGTCGAGGAGAGAGGTCGGTGTCCAGGACAGGAACGATTCAGATATCACCGGGCCACTGGTGTTAGCCGTGGCCCGGGATCGAACTCCCAGTCCGCTGGGTTCGGAGCGCATTGCGTCCAACTACTGCGCCACCGCTCCACCCAAGGAATTCGTTGATGGATGTTCAATTACCTTTCGTTTAATATTGGAATAAGTGCCGGTAATTCGATTAAAATAATTTGAAAAATAAATCAATGTGATCAGTCGAAACGCACCGTATAGGTCCTTCCGAAAAAACCCGATACTGATCGCCAAAAGGTTGGACGGACACGGCGTGACCTTTATATTTGATCGGCGAACAAAAAATGCACTTAAAACTCGGACCCATATCTAAACAACAGGTCCCTTGCCGATGACATCTGACAGGTCACCAGCATTGGTTCAAGCGAGCCTGACTGCTGATGAGAAAGTGAATGTTCGAAACCGGTCCATAGAGCTTTGCTCGAATTAAACCAATGCAGCTGGTAGCAACAACAACAACCTCTACACATTCGTCAATGACACACTGTGGTTGTGGCCTTAACAGGGAAACAATATACAATAGGTGACGTTTCGGGCAATGGCCCTTCTTCGTAGCAAATCAAGTTCTGAGTAAAAAAAAAGCCGACACGTTGCAGCAGTCAGATTCTATGCAATCGCTGGTAGTTGCAAGCGGAAACTTTCCGTGAAATGATTGTGATTTGTCATTTTTGGACTCCCTGTTAGACAACAGCGTCCTGAATCTCACCATCATCATCTACATCATCATCTACATCATCATCTACATCATCATCAGCAGCCATGATATATCCACTGCTGGATGAAAGCCTCGCCAATCTGTCACCATCTCTCGTGTCGCGATAAAACAACCCACGTGTCCGCCTTGCATTCCATCTCAGCGGATTTCCCCGGGTAAATGGTTGCAACCAATACTTGCTTATTATTCCTCGTGCACATGGGCGAGGTGAAATTGGTAACGTTGTGCGTGTGTGTGGATGTGGAGGTTACGAAGCCGTTCGATAGCTTTGTGCGGAGGCTTCCCAAGTAAACACGCCAGAGTTGACCCAACGTCGGCATGCGGTTGGAACTGCTGCATCGACGTTAGCCCAACGTTGGGCTCTTGGGTTGGCATGCGGTCCCGTGGATTAAAACATGCGTCCTGTTCACCGTTGGAACCTCATTTGCCAGTAAAAAATATGATAATTAGTTTTTTACCCTTTTATCTGGCAACAAAACTGACACCTTTTTTTGCGCCTTTTGGCGTCATCTGGTCCAACACCATGTGAGACTAGGCTCTAAGGAAAGCTGTCTCGGGTGTGGACCAATCAACTTCAAGGACAGTGCATACATGATCAGAGTTGTGTTTTTTGTTTGCATTACGACTGCAGGTATTGTGGTCTATGCAAACATGACTCCTTGTAAAAAAGGTGTCAGTTTTGTTGCCAGATAAAAGGTTAAAAAAACTATTATCATGCGTCCTGTTTTTTTACTTCCTCCGGGTCTCATCGGCGAAGTGGCTGCGTGGCCTGTTAGATAGTCGCCAATCGGTGGGGGGGGGTGGGGGGGGAGGCTGCGTGGGTGATGGGTCAGGCGAACTTCCATAACAGACGCCGTGGCCGCTGGGTCTGGCCCCAACACCTCCCAACAAGAGCCCGGCCAGCCTCACCACGATCGTGATCCCCCCCCCCACCGCCGCCCGCGCCGCTACCGCCCACACAGCCTCCTTGGCTCTTGGCTCTCAGCTCGAAATAAATAAATGACCGTCCCCAAGATTTCATTTCGCCTTTTTGTGCCGAGAAAATTTAATAGAACAAGGGGCGGGGGTGGAGATGGTAGGAGGAGGGTGGATGTGGGGAGTGGATGTGGGGAGGGATGTGGGGAGGGGGGGAGGGGGGAGGAGCGGTGGCGCAGCGGTTAGCGCGCTGCGCTACGAACCCGGCGAACCGGGTTCGATTCCCGCCCGCGGAATTTAACACCCAGTGACGATTATCTGAAGCGGTCCTGGGCCTCCCGTAGGTCGACTCAGCCTCAAATTTGCACCTGGTGCGGAGTGTAAATATCGCCACTGGTGCTAGCCTTTGTAGCTGCTCGCTCGCAGCCCTTGCCCCAACAGTCTGTCGCAGGCTACACGGGGGGCCTGTGCCTTCTGTGTGTGTGGGAGCGGCTCCTTGAGGCTGCGTTGCGCTAAGGATCGCAGCCTTTTGTGTGGCTCGCAGCGCCTTTGTAGCTTCGTCGATCGCTTTATCTCGGGGCGTTCTCTCCTCCTCCTCCTCCACCCTCCTCCACCTCGCTCTTGTTTTAACATCTCCTATCTCTCTCTCTCTCGCTCGCTCCTCTCTCTCTCTCGTCTGCGCCTGCATCTCCCACAGCCACTCTCACCACTCACTCGCACACTCCACTTCATCCACTCATCCACCATTACCACCACACACTTCACCACCATCACCACCGCCATCATCACCCCACCACCCCACCCACCCAACACTGCTGAGGATATGGAGGCCCCCAGGCCATCTGCCCCCCACCCCCCGCATCTCCCACGTCCGCCCCCCCTCCTCCACCTCCCATCCCCGACTGCCACCCACGCCCCGTGATCACTGTCCCCACCCCCCCACACCCCCCCACATCCCCCGCCGCCGTCGCCCTCCTCCCCCCGCGCTCTGCAATGGAGCGCAACCACTGCAGCCATTCGAGAAGAGAGAGACAGCGAGACACAGAGAGACAGAGAGAGACACAGAGAGAGAGACAGAGAGACACAGAGAGAGACACAAAGAGAGACAGAGGGAGACACACAGAGAGAGGGACAGAGAGAGAGACAGAGAGAGACACACAGAGAGAGACACACAGAGAGAGACAGAGACAGAGAGACACACAGAGAGACAGACAGAGAGACACACAGAGAGACACAGAGACAGAGAGAGACAGAGAGACACAGAGAGACAGAGAGAAACACAGAGAGAGACAGAGAGACACACAGAGAGACAGACAGAGAGACACACAGAGAGAGACAGAGAGAGACAGAGAGACACATAGAGACAGAGAAAAACACAGAGAGAGACAGAGAGAGACACACACAGAGAGAGACAGAGACAGAGAGACACACAGAGACAGAGAGAGACACAGAAACAGAGAGAGACAGGCAGAGAGAGACAAGGGGGGGGGGGGGGTGTACATAAAGCAAAGCATGAAAAAAACCCAAAAAACTAAATTATGAACGAAGCAAAGTGCCGACGACACCGAGCATCTTCTTGTTTCCTCTGATCGTAAAAAAAGAGAAGAATTCAGAGGAGAGAGGGCGAGGGGAGAGCACAGGAGAGGCACGGAGAGAGAGGCACAGATAACCACGAGGCATATCGAGAGAGGGAAGGCGAGGGTAGAGAGAGGGAGGAGGAGGAGGGAGGGCATAGGGAGAACGCACATTATGAGAGAGAGAGAGCGAGAGAGACAGAGCCAAGGAGAGGTATGGATATTAAAACGTGAGCAAGGGAAGAGACAACCAAGAGGGGAGAGCTGTGAGAGTGAGGAGAGGGAGAGAATATTGGGGTAGAGAGGGTAACATTCCCTGCAAGATGCAGCTGCCCCCCCACCTCCACCCCCCTCCAGCCCCCCCCCCCCTTCCAGCCCGAGGTGAATTCCCGTCTGGCACTTCTCGCGTCATTAACCCATCGAGCGACGAGTTCCGTTCGCACTGAGCCCCTTCTCCTCTTCCTCGCTTTGTTCTCCATTCGTTCTCTTCTCCTCCGACTCCTCTTGGGAAGCTCCGAAGCCAACCCCCACACGAAAGGGGGCAAAGCCCTCGGTGGAATTCGGGCAATCGCTCGCTTAACGCGGTAGTTGCGTTCCTGAAAAGTGCCGCGCTAAGTGAAAACCGCGTTAAGCGAGGGGCTTTGAATCACATTTGCGCTGGAACATCATCAGTCTGCAGTCACCCCGCGGCGCGACAAATAACTGAGATGAGAGGACGCCGCCACGTGCTGCGTCATTCCGCGTCGCGTGTCATCATACCGCTCATACCGCAGTTATACCGTAGCTCGTCGTCGGCCGCTCAGAAACCGCGTTGTTAACGGACGCGTTATAACGGTGCTCGTTCCACGTTATAACAGGCGCGTTATAACGGACGCGTTCCGCGTTATAACGGACGCGTTCCGTGTTATAACGGGCGCGTTCCACGTTATAATGGGCGCGTTATAACGGGCGCGTTATAACGGACGCGTTCCGCGTTATAACGGGCGCGTTCCACGTTATAACGGGCGCGTTCCACATTATAATGGACGCGTTATAACGGGCGCGTTATAACGGACGCGTTCCACGTTATAACGGGCGCGTTCCACGTTATAACGGACGCGTTCCACGTTATAACGTGGACACGTTCCACGTTATAACGGACGCGTTCCACGTTATAACGGGCGCGTTCCGCATTGCGAAAAAAGTGTTCTCGAATGGAAGAACCGCGTTGCGGCGAAAACGCGTTATAGTGGGAACACCGCGCGCGTTCAGCGACGTCTCAGCGCAGTCCCCTCCGCCGTGAGCCCAGACGTGCGAGAGTGTTGGGAGGAGTCAGCAACAGGCGGCGGTGGCTACGCTGCACGCGGCCAGGGGGTTGGTGAATCACCGCACGAGTTGACTAAACGTTGGGGGACTCCCTTCCCGTGGGCGTCGAGCAGAGGTCGCAAACGGCTTTTGATTCCTTACCCGTACCTGGCCACACCAGGGTCGCAAACGGGTACTTGCACCCGTACCCGGCCGTACCTGTACCCTACCCGTACCCGGCCGGGTACGGGTAGGTAACGGGTATCGGGTACCCGATTGCGACCTCTGGGATGAAGCCATGTTGCAGGCGCGGGTGGGTTGATTCTAGGAACTTGAATTGTGAGAAGAGACAAGACGTTGGGAAATGAGTGACAAACGGTTACTCACCAGTGACTCACGGCCTACCCGTACTCGGCCGCACCAGGGTCGCAAACGGGTACGGGTAGCCGGGTATCGGGTACCCGGTTGCGACCTCTGGCATCGAGGAGGAGCCCCGTACCCCGCGGCTCGACGGCAGAATTCCAGCGCAGCGAAGTGTGGACCGACATCGCCTGTCCCTTCTGCGCGATGTTTCTAAATGTGGAGGGGAAAATCGGAGGACTCGGAGAAAAATGCACGCGACCACTCCAAATACACAGCAGCAGGCGTCAGGGTCGGGATCGAACCCACGAACTCCTGTATACCAGGCGAGGTAGTTAACATCTCCTAGCCACCGTGATGATGATGATGATGATAGAGAGAGAGAGAGACACGCAAACTCCAAATATACAGCAGCAGGCGTCAGGGTCGGGATCGAACCCACGCCCTCCTGTGTTCCAGACGAGGCAGATAACATCTCCCCACCATGGCGAGATGTTATTTCTGCAATCTACTCACATGTTTACTGCTATAATGAGCCAAGAATGTCTGTGTGTCCCGCGCGTGACGTCACTCCACGTCGGCCAGCCCCCCTCATTAATACTCCTGAACAGGTGACGTCCTCCACATGGAACTCCCTCATTAATAGTCATGAGCAGGTGACGTCACTCCACATCGAACAGTCCCCCTCATTAATAATCATGAACAGGTGACGTCTTCCAAATGGACACCCCCTCATTAATATTAATTAGCGGCTGACGTCACTCCACATGAGGGGCCGAGGCGCCTCCTCCCCCCTCCTCGGCGTCAACTTACAACCCTCACTACTAAGGCAGAACCCTCACGTCACGCGGTCTCCGTAACGCTGTTGAGACATCAGAGTAAAAAGGACGTCATGATGAACAAGGGATTATAACCTTTAAATGCAATAAGTCTGTGTCACCGCGCCCTTACACATTGCACACGAATTGATGCAATGAACATCACGTCGCCGTCTGCCTTTCGCTTGCAAGTTTCACATCTACCGCAATACACCCGTCCGGCAAAAGGCGAGTGTACAATCTACTAATTTACATAAAATATACATAATACACCCATGCACACAATGCACCCACATACATAATTCACTCATATGCATAATAAAGACATCATCCCCCCCGCCGCCCCCCATACACAGCCCCCACGCGCTGTGCAAGTGGCAGCCACGGCTCTCTCAGCCGGTGGGGCGGGGGGGGGGGGTCACATAGCCGTCGTGTAAGTGTCTGCAGGATCCCAGTTGTGGGGATGGCGGGGGGGGGGTTCAGCCCCCCCATCAGCCCCCCATAGGGGGTGGTGGTGGTGGTGGGGGGAGAGGTCAGAAACGCATGTGCCCCCCCCATCCCCCCACTCTCACCCTGGCACATTCTTAGTGGGATTCTCTGGTTGAGTGAAATTAAAGGCCGGGAGGGGTGAGGGGGTTGCCAGTCCCTCTCCTCTCCACGGATGGACCGGAGCATGGATGACACGAGGGGTAATCCGCCTTGCCCCCTTCCCTCTCTTCCTCCCTCCCCCCCACTGACGGCGCTGCTCACAGCGACCACAGCGCCGTCTGTCACCGCCGCAGCGAGGTAGGGGGTTGTTTTGCCAGACACGCTCGCACAGACGACACAAAGACGAAGATCCACACCCAACCACCCAACCCACCCACCCACCACCGTCTTGCGCTCGCAGGCCGATGAGGGCAAGTGGCGCCGGCGAGCGGATGCCTATGAAGGCCGGCACGTTGCACTATGAGTGGAGAGTGCGGGAGGGAATGAGTGGAGAGTGAGAGAGGGAATGAGTGGAGAGTGCGGGAGGGAGTGGAGAATGAGAGAGAGGGAATGAGTGGAGAGTGAGAGAGCGAATGAGTGGAGAGTGCGGGAGGGAATGAGTGAAGAGTGAGAGAGGGAATGAGTGGAGAATGAGAGAGCGAATGAGTGGAGAGTGCGGGAGGGAATGAGTGAAGAGTGAGAGAGGGAATGAGTGGAGAGTGCGGGAGGGAATGAGTGGAGAGTGAGAATGAGTGGAGAGTGCGGGAGGGAATGAGTGGAGAGTGAGAGAGGGAATGAGTGGAGAGTGCGGGAGGGAGTGGAGAATGAGAGAGAGGGAATGAGTTGAGAATGAGAGAGGGAATGAGTGGAGAATGAGAGAGGGAATTAGTGGAGAGTGAGAGAGGGAATGAGTGGAGAGTGAGAGAGGGAATGAGTGGAGAGTGCGGGAGGGAGTGGAGAATGAGAGAGAGGGAATGAGTTGAGAATGAGAGAGGGAATGAGTGGAGAATGAGAGAGGGAATTAGTGGAGAGTGAGAGAGGGAATGAGTGGAGAGTGAGAGAGAGAATGAGTGGAGAGTGCGGGAGGGAATGAGTGGAGAGTGAGAATGAGTGGAGAGTGCGGGAGGGAATGAGTGGAGAGTGAGAGAGGGAATGAGTGGAGAGTGCGGGAGGGAATGAGTGGAGAGTGAGAGAGAGGGAATGAGTGGAGAGAACGACAGAGACACCGTCTCGCACTCAGTCACTCAGCCAGTCACTCACTCAGTCACTCACACAGTCACTCACAGTCACTCACAATCACTCACTCAGTCACTCAGTCACTCGGTCACTCAGTCACTCACAGTCACTCACACAGTCACTCACTCAGTCACACAGTCACTCATTCAGTCACTCAGTCACTCACAGTCACTCACAGTCACTCAGTCACTCACTCAGTCACTCACAGTGACTCACACAGCCACTCACTCAGTCACTCAGTCACTTAACCAGTCACTCAGTTACTCACACTCAGTCACTCAGTCACTCACACAGTCTCACACATCCAGTCACTTAGTCACTCACACAGTCACTCACCCAATCACTCACACAGTCACTCACCCAATCACTCACACAGTCACTCACAGTCACACAGTCACTCACTCACTCAGTCACTCACAGTCACTCACCTAGTCACTCACACAGTCTCACACACCCAGTCACTCACAGACTCACACAGTCACTCAGTCACTCACAGTCACTAACCCAGTCACTCAGTCACTCACTCAGTCAATCACACAGTCTCACTCACCCAGTCACTCACACAATCACTCACAAAGTCACTCACAAAGTCACTCACAGTCACTCACACACTCACACAGTCTCACTCACCCAATCACTCACTCAGTCACTCACACAGTCACTCACAGTCACTCACCCAGTCACTCACACAGTCACAATCACACAGTCACTCACACAGTCACTCACACAGTCACTCACCCAGTCACTCACTCAGTCACACACAGTCACTCACACTCAGTCACTCACAGTCACTCACTCACAGTCACTCAGTCAGTCACACAGTCACTCAGTCACTCACACAGTCTCACACTCACAGTCACTCACACAGTCACTCACACAGTCACTCACAGTCACTCAGTCAGTCACTCACCCAGTCACTCACACAGTCAATCACAGTCACTCACACAGTCACTCACACAGTCACTCACACAGTCAATCACAGTCACTCACACAGTCACTCACAGTCACTCAGTCAGTCACTCACCCAGTCACTCACACAGTCACTCACACAGTCACTCACACAGTCTCACTCACCCAGTCGCACTCCGCGTCCAACACAAGTTGAAGTGGGTAGCACGCCACACACAGACGAGCAACACCTCACCCTGTCGTTCTCTCCACTCATTCCCTCTCTCTCACTCTCCACTCATTCCCTCCCGCACTCTCCACTCATTCCCTCTCTCACTCTCCACTCATTCCTTCCCGCACTCTCCACTCATTCTCACTCTCCACTCATTCCCTCCCGCACTCTCCACTCATTCTCTCTCTCACTCTCCACTCATTCCCTCTCTCACTCTCCACTAATTCCCTCTCTCATTCTCCACTCATTCCCTCTCTCATTCTCAACTCATTCCCTCTCTCTCATTCTCCACTCCCTCCCGCACTCTCCACTCATTCCCTCTCTCACTCTCCACTCATTCCCTCCCGCACTCTCCACTCATTCTCACTCTCCACTCATTCCCTCCCGCACTCTCCACTCATTCCCTCTCTCACTCTTCACTCATTCCCTCCCGCACTCTCCACTCATTCGCTCTCTCATTCTCCACTCATTCCCTCTCTCACTCTTCACTCATTCCCTCCCGCACTCTCCACTCATTCGCTCTCTCACTCTCCACTCATTCCCTCTCTCTCATTCTCCACTCCCTCCCGCACTCTCCACTCATTCCCTCTCCCGCACTCTCCACTCATTCCCTTTCGCTCACTCTCCACTGCTCTCCCTCCGTCTGCGACTCACTTCGCCACTGCATTCATTGTTTGGTGGACTTAATTCATACCGACTCGTCTTCCTTCATTGCAGCACCTCCGTAGCTCTCATTTCGAATTCCTTCTTACGAATTCGCTCATTCATTCTCACTCTCGTTCATTCTGTAACCCGTTTAGTTCCCATTCTAGAACATCCCTTACTCGCTCGCCCATTCATTCATTCGATGTTATATTATTGGTAATTCATTCATCTCTATGACGTTCATCCTCATCTCTTGCCCTCCACTCTGCCGTTCACTCATTCTCCCATTCATTCATTCACTCGCTCATTCGCCCGTATCATTCTCAACCCTCCCTCTCTGCCACTCCTTCTCCCTCTCGGACCCCCCCCCCCCTGCCTACCCACTCCCCTCTCCAAATTAATTCGCTCGCACTCACCAACCCACCCACCCACCGCCCCCGCGTCCCTTCCCACCCTCCACCCACCTCTCTCCCCTTCATCTCCACGCGGTCAGGAGTCATCAATCATCCGCACGGACACACACGCACGCAGACACAGACACACGCAGACACAGACACACACACACAGACACACACACACACACACGCAGACACACACACACGCGCGCGCACACGCACGCACGCGCACAGACAGACACACACACGCACGCGCACTCTCTCTCGTATAAAACATCAAGCGGAGGCACACGCGCTTAGAGAGCGCACTGATCGTGAGAGCCAGAGCCAGAGAGAGAGAGGGGACAACAGAGCGACACAGACGAACAGGGGAGAGAGAGAGAGATAGTTCGGGGCTGTATATAACGACGTCGGAGAAGTCTGTCGCTACCCCCCCTTCTATCTTGCGCTCTCTCCCTACGCGCGCGCATCCAGGAGGTCAGAGCTCGGGGCTTGGAGGAGGAGGAGGAGGAAGAAGCAGCGACGATGTTGAGTTTCTCGGGCACGTGGAAGATGAAGAGCAGCGAGAAGTTCGAGGACTACCTCAAAGAGCTGGGTGCGTGCAGGGTGTTGGGGGTGTATGTAGGGTGTGTGTGTGTAGGGTGTGTGTCGGGTGTGTGTGTAGGGTGTGTGTGCATGTGTGTGTGTGTAGGGTGTGTATGTGTATGGTGTGTGCGTGCAGGGTGTGTGTGTGTAGGGTGTGTGTGTGTGTGTAGGGTGTGTGTGTAGGGTGTGTGTAGGTTGTGTGTAGGGTGTGTGTGTGTATGGTGTGTGTGTAGGGTGTGTGTGTGTAGGGTGTGTGTGTATGGTGTGTGTGTAGGGTGTGTGTGTGTATGGTGTGTGTGTAGGGTGTGTGTGTAGGGTGTGTGTGTATGGGGTGTGTGTGTAGGGTGTGTGTGTAGGGTGTGTGTGTGTAGGGTGTGTGTGCAGGGTGTGTGTGTGTAGGGATTGTGTGTAGAGTGTGTGCAGGGTGTGTGTATGGTGTGTGTAGAGTGTGTGTAGGGGGTGTGTATGGTGTGTGTGTAGAGTGTGTGCAGGGTGTGTGTAGGGTGTGTGTGTGTAGGGTTTGTGTGCAGGATGTGTGTGTGTGTAGGGTGTGTGTGCAGGGTGTGTGTGTAGGGTGTGTGTGTAGGGTGTGTGTGTGTGTAGGGTTTGTGTTCAGGATGTGTGTGTGTGTAGGGTGTGTGTGCAGGGTGTGTGTGTAGGGTGTGTGTGTATGGTGTGTGTGTAGGGTGTGTGTGTATGGTGTGTGTGTAGGGTGTGTGTGTATGGTGTGTGTATGTAGGGTGTGTGTGTGTAGAGTGTGTGTAGGGTGTGTGTGTAGGGGTGTGTGTATGGTGTGTATGTAGAGTGTGTTCAGGGTGCGTGTGTGTGTAGGGTGTGTGTGTATGGTGTGTGTGTAGGGTGTGTGTGTGTAGGGTGTGTGTAGGGTGTGTGTATGGTGTGTGTGTACGGTGTATGTGTGTAGGGTGTGTGTGTGTAGGGTGTGTGTGTAGGGTGTGTGTGTGTAGGGTGTGTGTGTGCAGGGTGTGTGTGTGTAGGGTGTGTGTGTCGGGTGTGTGTGTGTAGGGTGTGTGTGTGCAGGGTGTGTGTGTGTGTGTCGGGTGTGTGTGTGCAGGGTGTGTGTATGTAGGGTGTGTGTGTCGGGTGTGTGTATAGGGAGCGGCAGAGTAGTGGTTAGCACGCTGCGCTACAAACCCGGTGACCAAAGTTTGATTCCCCGCTCACGGCCAACACCAGTGACGATTATCTGAACCGGTCCTGGGCCTCCTCTTGGTCGACTCAGCCTCAAATGAGTACCTGGGGCGGTGTGTAGTAAATATCGCCACTGGGGAGACAAGGGCGGCCGGGCGTGTGGCTGGCCACCCACCCCCTCGTGCGCCGTGCTGGCCTTCATAGGTGCTTCCCTAACAGCACTTGCCCCAAAAGTCTGTTAAGGCTACACGGGGGAATCTTTGTTTTGTGTGTGGGTAGTGTGTGTGTGTATGGGGCGTGTGTCTGTATGGGTGTAGGGTGTGTGTGTGTAGAGTGTGGGTTTGTGTAGGGTGTGTTTGGGAGCGGTGGTGAACGGACTTGCGCTACGACCCAGGCGACTCGAGTTCGATTCCCGTTCACAGTGGGAACTATTTAAAGGTCGACTCAGCCTTCAAAGTTTATCTTTTGCGGGGAGACAAAGGCGGCCGAGAGTGGTGTTGGCTCCCCACCCCCGCATCGTGTCCCGTGCCGGCCTTCATAGGTGCTCGCAAACACAACTTGCCCCAACTGCCAGTTACGGCTATACGGGGGGTCTTTGTGTAGGTGTCTCTTGTGTGTGTGTGTAGGTGTCTGTGTGTGTGTAGGTGTCTGTGTGTGTGTGTGTGTAGGTGTCTGTGTGTGTGTGTAGGTGTCTGTGTGTGTGTAGGTGTCTGTGTGTGTAGGTGTCTGTGTGTGTGTAGGTGTCTCTGTGTGGGTATAGGTGTCTCTGCATGTGTGTAGGTGTCTCTGTATGTGTGTAGGTGTCTCTGTGTGTGTAGGCGTCTCTGTGTGTGTGTAGGTGTCTCTGTATGTGTGTAGGTGTCTGTGTGTGTGTGTAGGTGTCTCTATGTGTGTAGGTGTCTCTGTGTGTGTAGGTGTATCTGTGTATGTGTAGGTGTCTGTATGTGTGTGTAGGTGTCTCTGTATGTGTGTAGGTGTCTCTGTGTGTGTAGGTGTCTCTGTATCTGTGTGTAGGTGTCTCTGTGTGGGTGCCGGCAGGTGCTAGAATTTGGGTGTCAGCCACTCGTGACTCAGCCGGGTTCTCAAGCCGCGTGAGTTGATGTTCTCAGCCCGGTCACCAATAGGAACGATGTCCGACGTTTCGCTCCACGTGGAAATAAATGAACGTACAATTCGGATTTAGACCTCCTATTTAAAAAAAAATGGAGGGACCGCCACGCCCCCAGTGTTCTCAGTGTGTGGGCGACTGCGCCCCCTACTGGGGCACGCGTGAAAGACCCCTGCGTGAGATTCCCCAATGGATTCTTGACCTCAATTCCACGGAGCCTACAGTCGGAATAAACTGCGTTAGAAAAAACATTTTATTTAAACAAAAAATGTTGACATGAAAACTAATAGCGATGAAAGTTTACGAAATCAACACGCAGGACTGTCCTGCCATTTACGTATGCACGGTGATGAGATGTTAACTACCTCGCCTGGTGTACAGGAGGTCGTGGGTTCGATCCCGACTCTGACGCCTGCTGTATATTTGGAGTTTGCGTGTCTCTCTCGTCATCATCACGGTGGCTAGGAGATGTTAACTACCTCGCCTAGTATGCAGGAGGTCGTGGGTTCGATTCTGACTCTGACGCCTGCTGTATATTTGGAGTTTGCGTGTCTCTCTCTCTCTCTCATTATCACGGTAGCTAGGAGATGTTAACTACCTCGCCTGATATGAAGGAGGTCGTGGGTTCGATCCTGACTCTGACGCCTGCTGTATATTTGGAGTTTGCGTGTCTCTCTCCTCGTAGTCGCGTGGATTTTTCTCCGGGTCCTCCGGGGTTTCCCTCCACATTTAGAATCAACATCACCACACGCTTAGACTATTTGGCTGCTGTAAATTTCCACATGGTGATGATGATGATAAGCAACTTCGTTGAGCTTCATTTGTGGCCAGGTCGCTTCTGAAAAAGAGCTCTAAGGCTCATTGGGGCCTTACCTGGTAAAATCAATTTAACGCTTCGTTGTAACATAACACTCAGGCCTTAAAAGGGAAAATATATAATTGGCCGACGTTTCGGGCAACGACCCTGCTTCATAGCACACGAAGACGGACCATAGCCCTCAACGTCGCCTATTATGTCCGTCCGTATGTTGAACTTCTTTCGCGCCGTACGTAGCCAACCGCGCTAATAATCCGAGGTGCGATACATAACCTGTCGATTTCGTTGTTGCCGCAGCTGTTGTTGTTGTTGTTATTGATTGTGCCACCACAGGCGGCAGGCATCGCCAATTAGTGTACCTGCCATGCGGTCAGCGAACGTGTCAAGCAATCGCTTTCGATCAGTGCAGCAAATAAATAAGAATCACGATAACAACAGCAACAACAACGACGCATCGATGTATGATGGACGGCGGTCCTGCAGTCATCTCGAACGTGAGAGCCCTTTTATTTAGCCACACGGAGGGCCCATTGAGAAGCGTTGCTCATTGCGTCGCAGGGACGCGGGCGAGTCGGCGCGTGTCCGCAAATGTCAGGCGCTTCTTGGGTGGCAAGGGTTGGTGGATCACGCAGAGATTCGCGAAACTCCTCGCCAAAAAAATAAAAACTCGACGGGGTCTCCGTGCGTGGCGACAGGGAATCCGTGACCCACGGGTGGCCTGGCAGAGCACACCAACTCGCTACGTTTGAGAAGCCGATTTCATCACAACTATGGGTCTCCACACGAGTTGATGAGTCTCTGTGGTGAGGCTATGAGTCCCTCTATGTGAGTCGATAGGCCAGTCTATGAGTCTCCACGTAAGTCACTGGTGACCCGGCTGAGACCATCACACTTGAGCACACGGTTTTTAAGGACGCGCGGTTCAACCACGGATTCGAACTCAGGCGTCTCAGGGGTCGTCGGCTCAGCGTCTCCAACGCGGCCAATACGATCCCCCCCCCCAAATCAGCACGAGTCGCAGTGGAGTCTCAGCCGACAAACTACAGGCACCGAGCTCTCGATCTGTCTACGTGTAAAACACCAGCGAGACAACCCAGTTTCGGGCGAGCAGCTTTAATAGGGTCCCGTGCTGTAAAATGCGCCAAGCTCGACTGCCACCCACGCGTGTGGGAGTGATACTGACACGTGTCCCCCTGTAGTCTTCAGTTTGTCTACACCTCTGCGTGCGTAACTACGTCTGAGTGTCTCGATCTCTCCCCCGTGTCTCTGCGTGTCCTGTCCGCTCGTTTATGTGTCTCCACGCCTCGTCTGTCTGTGAATCTCCGTGCACCGGTGTCTCTCTGTGTGTCTCTGTGTGTCTCTGTGTCTCTGTGTCTCTGTGTCTCCATGTCTCTCTCCGATCTTCGCTTGACCCCACGCAATGCTCACACGGCTCCGATCAGACTACGCACGCGTGGCAGGTGTCCCTTTAATTAAAGGCACCCTCTCCCAAGTAGCACCATGTTTAATATTTTGAGTTAATATTATTATTGAACTTCTTTACCCAGTAAGAACCTGACTGGGTCTCGTGGCGAATGCTCAGGAGGGTCCTACCATGCTTTCGATGATTGCTGCTGCTGTGTATAATCCCAATTGAGTCATTTGAGGTCACGAGACGAACCAGTGGATGACGATGATGATGGTCGAGATGATGATGATGCTGCTGCTGACTCCAGCGTGACGACTCAGAGTGAACGTTTTCCTGATGCTGATGTTCGCTGCATTGCCGATAGACTTAATTTTACTTTATTCGTCTCCATCATCGTCATGATTATCCTCATCATTGTCGTCATCATGATCATCACCATCATCGCCGTCACGATCATCACCATCATCGTCGTCACAATCATCACCATCATCGCCGTCACGATCATCACCATCATCGTCACAATCATCACCATCATCGCCGTCACGATCATCACCATCATCGCCGTCACGATCATCACCATCATCGCCGTCACGATCATCACCATCATCGCCGTCACGATCATCACCATCATCGCCGTCACGATCATCACCATCATCGCCGTCACGATCATCACCATCATCGCCGTCACGATCATCACCATCATCGCCGTCACGATCATCATCGCCGCAGGCATCAACGTGATGCTGAGGAAGATGGCCGCGGCGGCGAAACCCACGGTGGAGATTCGCCAGGACGGAGAGAACTTCTACATCAAGACGTGGACCTCCATCCGCAGCACGGAGGTCAACTTCAAGGTGGGCGAGGAGTTCGAGGAGGAGACCATGGACGGACGCAAGATGAAGGTAAGACGACGACGAGGAGGAGAGGTGGTGGTGGAAGAGGAGGAGTGGAGGAGGAAGGGGAGGGGTGGAGGAAGAGGGGTGGTGGAGGAGCAGGGGTAGTCGAGGGTTGGTGGAGGAGGGGTGGAGGAGTGGAGGAGGAAGGGGAGGGGTGGAGGAAGAGGGGTGGTGGAGGAGGAGGGGTAGACGAGGGTTGGTGGAGGAGGGGTGGAGTGGAGGAGGAGGTGGGTTGGTGGAGGAAGGGGAGGGGTGGTGGAGGAGGGGTGGAGGAGTGGAGGAGGAGGTGGGTTGGTGGAGGAAGGGGAGGGGTGGTGGTGGAGGAGGGATGGTGGTGGAGGAAGAGGAGTGGTGGACGAGGGTTGGTGGAAGAGGAGGAGTGGAGGAGGAAGGGGTGGAGGAAGAGGGGTGGTGGAGTAGGAGGGGTAGTCGAGGGTTGGTGGAGGAGGGGTGGAGGAGGAGTGGAGGAGGGGTGATGGAGGAGGAGGATGTTACTGAGAATAGTGAGTTGCAGGATGAGGTGCCATCGCAGGGCACTTTACACGCGATCAGCCACGAGCATCGCATCTCAACACATTCCAAAGGGCACCCCCAGTGGCAGCTGTCCCTGTGTGACACAACGTGATTCAGTGCCAGGCCTGCGAGTGGTGCATTTAGTCTGCTGCCAGTGGGCGCCATGATTGCTGCTGCTGCTCTACGTGATCCCATGTGTCACGGTTCGCATTTTACCAAATCCGGACCGTGACATCTGCCATCACGCCCTGGCCTGCGCCTCGATTCGAATGACGTCGCGGGGATCTTCAACGTCCGCTGCGAGCGACGCCGACGGCGCGTCGCGTATTCACGGCGAATTAACGAACACCGCAGGCGTTAACCAGGGCGCGGGCCTGCGGGCCGCTTCGAACCGCGCGCGCTTCTGCGACGCCACCGACGAACGGCCCCTGCGATCGCCGGGCCTCGCCAATAGGGTCACCAAGAGTAGCAGTGACGACGACGATGACGATGACGACGACGATGATGATGATGGTCCCCACTCCCTGCCCCTACCTGCACGCAGAGCGTGGTGAAGTGGGAGAAAGACGACAAGCTGCAGTGCGTGCAGCTGCCACTCAAGGGCGACGGTCTGCAGACCGAGTGGAGCCGCGAGATGGTGTCGGAGAACGAGCTCATCCTGGTGAGAGGCGGGGGGGGGGGGCGAGGGAGGGGGCTTGGGTGGAGGGGCTGGGGGGCTGGGGATTGAGGGGGGAGACCCGGGAGGAGGAGTGGGGGGGGGGGTATTTATTTTGCTCGTTGGACGTCCGAGATACAAAGCTGTTGACCTTGGCCACGTCGGCAGAGCTTCCCGTAAGAAGTCCGAAACGTTCTTGGGAGGCGTCCAGAGCATCTCCAGCGAGGCAGCCCCCCCCCCTCTCCCCCACCAGGCCCCCCCCCCCCATGAAGCGCTTTCGGCGAAGCCGCCCGCCTGCAGCGCCACTCTGGAGAGCGGTGCCGCTTTGGCCAGGATTCCTCGCTGGCTGGTGGGCTGGCGACAAGTAGCAGCAGTGTCGCTTCCAAGAACTCGGAGTTCAGTGGGATGGGTGGAGCTGCCCCTCTGCACGCTCAAAACGAAACTCAAATCCATGGAGGGGGGCGGGGGGTGGGATCTCTGGGCAGTTTCGAATGAAGCTAGTGCGGGGCCTGTAGCATTATGTTATAAAGGGGCCCTAAATAAAATATAAAACACGTAAATATTCAAACACAAATGTTTTACTTGCATAGTAAAGTAATTATATTTTTCCATTCGCTGTACAGCCAGATAATACTAAAAATCGCTAACCTTAAACACCCAGTCGTACATAAAAAGGCGGTGTAGTACTATAGTAATCGAGCAAGTGCAGAATCACTGAACCGGAATTGATAGCTTGAAAGCGTTTAGCGCGGGGCCCTTGAAAGTGCGGGGCCCGTAGCTACTACTTGTGCGACTACAATAATTCGGCCTTCGCTTCCATGGCACCACATTTCTCTTCCAGGAGGCATTTTTCCTCTTTTAGCTCGGCCACTGCTCTATCCAATCCCACCGGCCATTGTCACTGACGCAGAGCAAACCTTGTGATGCCACGCGCGGTTACTGGGCCATCCACACCCAGTCTCGTGTGCCACAGTGCCGGCCTTCATAGGGCTGCTACTCGCGCTAAGGGGCCGTCCATAAATGACGTCACGCACCTAGGGGGAGGGAGGGGGTCAGACATTTGTGACGATGTGTGACGAGGGGAGGGGGGGTTAGAAATGTGACGTTAAATAAAAATTCGTAACTTTAAATAAATATAGACAACACGTTCTACTTAATTAAATAGACTTTGTAATAAATGTTTTCTCCTACAACATCAGAGTGCAGCGCCACATTAAATACGCACTACAATGACAATAGTTTAAAGCGATTTGAAGCACGCTTTATTTGGGGGGGGGGGGGGGGACAGAGCGTTGTGACTTCATATTTGTGGGGGGGGGGTCTTAATTTTTGTGACGCCGTGTGACGAGAGTGGGGGGGGGGGGGGTCAAAAATCGTCCAAAATCGCGTGACGTCATTTATGGACGGCCCCTAACGGCACGCGCCCCCGATAGCCAACGAACACATTTGTGAATCCGTCCTCTTCTGAACGCTGCTGCTGCTGTTGTTGTTGTCGTTCTGCAGACGATGTCCTGCAAGGACGCGGTGTGCACTCGCGTCTACGTCAAGGAGTGAATTCCGGCAGGGAAGATGAGCGATGATTGAGACCAAGATAACACTTACACACACGTACATACACACACATACATACACACGCTTACATACACACACTTACATACACACGCTTACATACACACACATACATACACACGCTTACATACACACACATACACATACATACACACACGTACACTCACATACATACACATACATACACATACATACACACACATACATACACATACATACACACACATACACACATACATACATACACACACGTACATACACACACACATACATACACACACACGCTTACATACACACACATACATAAACACGCATACGTACATACACACACAAAGACATACATACACACGCATGCAAAGACATACACACATACATGCACACATACAAAGACATTCACGTACATACACACACATACATACACACAAAGGTATACAAAGTTAAAGATACATACACACATACACACATATATGAAGACATACACACACATACAAAGATATACACACATAAATGCATAATTTAATACAGGTTAGCTCATGTTTACGCGAAGATATGTACACATACACAAAGATACACAGAAATACATAAACGTGCACACAGGTAAAAATATACACACATCTTCACACACACACGTAAACACACTCACACGTCACACCGCGCCGTAGGTAATTAATTAGCAAAGTTGGGGTGACGGTAAGCACAGGGAGAAGGAAGAAATGACGACTCTAAAGTGTCCGTAGAACCAACCACCCCCTCCTGCGTCTCTCCCGTGCGTGTGTCGTGACCCGACTCTCAACGTCTGTTTACTAAAAAAGAAGTCACTCTCTAAGGTGGTACTCTTAATAATGTTGTTGTTGTTGTCCTGCTCGTTGTTTGTCTTTGTTGCTGTATCAGCCGCGCGATATATTATTGAACAAAATAAATACCACTCGAAAGGTAACGGATATGGTGATGTTGATATCGATGATGGGGATACTGTTTGTGATGATGATGTTGATGATGTTGATGTTGATTATAATGGTGATGATATTGGTGATGTTGATAGTGCTGATGTTGATGATTTTGATGATGTTGATGATGATGGTGATGTTGATGATGATGGTGATGTTGATGATGATGTTGATGATATTGGTGATGATGTTGATAGTGGTGATGATGATTTTGATTATGGTGGTGATGTTGATGATGTTGATGGTAATTATATTGATGATGTTGATGTTGGTGATGATGGTGATGATGTTGATGATAATGATATTGGTAATGATGTTGATAGTGGTGATGATGATGATGTTGATGGTGATGATGTTGATGATAGGCAGGCAGGCGCGCTTGTAGGTTTGTTGTTGTTGGAGTAGGAATGTTGGAGTAGGAATGGTGGAGTGGGAATGTTGTATTGGGAATGGTTCTTTGCTTCGCACCCAATAAAGCCCCCGCCTCCAGAGATGCGCTCCACATCATTCTGCGTCTTCAGTCACGGTAGTGGTGGTCACGGTGGTGGTGGTCACGGTGTACCATCGGGCACTCCACCCCGACAACTCCCAATCGGTGATGGGGCATTTCTGGAGAGAGTGGAGAGTTTCCCATACCTGGGCAGTGTGCTCATGATCGGCTCCGGTTTGACAGCAGAGGTCTCACTCAGAATCAGTCGAGCGGCATTATCTTTTCATCGGTTGCGTCACGCTGAGTGGAAGCTACCTGGTCTGTCACTCCGCACGAAGCTTTGGGTCTTCTCTGCCACGGTCATTCCCTCCCTTATCTACGCTTGCGAAACGTGGACCCCCCTAACGGAGCATCTTCGCCGATTGAAAACATTTTGGCTGGTCTGCCTACGATTCATACTGGGTTTAACCAGGCTGGATTGTGTGAAGAGCTCACAAATCTTTGAAAGATCTGGGCAAAGTCCCATCGGTGAGCTCCTCCGGCAGGCAAGGCTGCGTTGGCTGGGTCATGTAGCCCGCATGCCCAGTCACCGCATGCCTAAACAGATTCTGTTTGGCCGGATAGAGGGGGCTAAACGGGCGAAGTGATGTGGTACAAGAGGATGTGGAGCTGAGTGGACTTGCCGATGACTAGTACCAGCGGTGTCAAGATCGACCTCTGTGGAGGATGCTACTGGGCAGTTGGAGGCAGTCGTCCTCCAACAACAACGGAGGGCGAAGGAGCGACGCTCACAACAACGAGCGGAGCGCCGGGTGGCTAAAGCACAGCAAGTTGGCACAGTAGGGGGTACACGTGGTGCATCAGCCAGTCATCTCAATCATCTCAGTCAGTCGACCCGTGGAAACCTGGGTCTGCCCCGTGACTTCCTGCCAGCGGGCGTTCGACACTTCACGTTGCCTCAAGGTGCACATAGCTTGGCACAAACGTCGTGGTGACGTCACCGCCACTTAGTGGGGAATGGCGGTTGCTGTTGTTGTTGGTCACGGTGGTGGTCACAGTGGTGGTGGTCACGGTGGTGATGCTGATGGTGGTGTTGATGGTGTTCGTGGCGAGTGTAGCGGTTTGCCAATTGCGCTATGATCCCCGCAACCAGAATTCGATTCCCGCTCATGACCCATCGCAGTCGCAAATATCCCCTAGGTCGACCCAGCCTCAAATGAGTACCTGTTGCGGTGCGTAAACATCGCCACTGGGGAGACAAAGGCGGCCGGGCACGGTGCCGGTCACCCACCCCAGCCACCAGCCTTCATATGTGCTCGCCAACAGCACTTGCGTCTGTTAAGGCAACAAGGGTGGATACTTATCCCTTTTTTTTTTGTCTTTCGGGGATAGTGTTGATAACGGCGTGGAGACGGTGACATCGGTGGTGGTGGTGGTGACGACGGCGGCGATGCTGTTTGTGGCATGGTGTCGCAATGTTTGTGCCAGCTCCACCAATGGAGCATTTCGAACTTCGCGTGGGAGAAACCAACCTCCGAGGCCGCTGTCTGCGTGGCCAACGCGGCCGAAATCCGAATCCCCGAGCGCGCTCCATCTCCTCCCATCCCTTCCACCTGCCGCTCCTATCTCTCTTTTTTTTCTTCCTTTTTTATCGTTTTTTTTACGATCAGTGGAAACAAGAAGATGCTCGGTGTAGTCGGCACTTTGCTTCGTTCATAATTTCGTATTTTTTTTTATAACTTTGCTTTATGTAAACCCCCACCTCTCGCTCACTCTCTCGCTCACTCTTTCGCTCACTCTCTCGCCACTCTCTTTTCTTTTTACGATCAGAGGAAACAAGAAGATGCTCGGTGTAGTCGACACTTTGCTTCGTTCATCATTTCGTTTTTTTTTCAATGCTTTGCTTTGTGTGCCCCCCTCCCCCCCTGTTTAAATGAAAGATTTCACAAAAGATTTCACGCTCTCCTCCTTCTTACCCATTCCTTCTCTCTACCCCCTCTCTCTACCCCCCCTCTCTCTCTACCCCCTCTCTCTACCCCCCCTCTCTCTCTACTCCCCCCTCTCTCTACCCCCTCTCTCTACCCCCTCTCTCGCTACCCACTCTCTCTACCCCCCCTCTCTCTACCCCTTCTCTCTACCCCTCTCTCTACCCCCCCTCTCTCTCTACCCCCTCTCTCTCTACCCCCTCTCTCTACCCCCTCTCTCTACCCCCCCTCTCTCTCTACCCCTTCTCTATACCCCCCCTCTCTCTACCCCTCTCTCTCTACCCCCCCCCTCTCTCTCTACCCCCTCTCTCTCTACCCCCCTCTCTCTCTACCCCCCCCTCTCTACCCCCTCTCTCTACCCCCTCTCTCTACCCCCCCTCTCTCTACCCCTTCTCTCTACCCCCTCTCTCTCTACCCCCCCCCCCCTCTCTCTCTACCCCCTCTCTCCCTACTCTATGTCCATGTTCCCCCTGTTTCTCCCTTCCCTTCCACCTGCCGCTCCACTCTCTCTCTCTCTCCACTGTGTATTTCATATTGAAATCGCCTCCAGTGCTTTTGCTGCTGGCGGCAATAAAAGTTGTTTAAAAGTCTCTCCACTCTCTCGCTCGCTCTCCTCGAACGCCGCGCACGGCGCATCCGCGGCGCCTTCATCCAGCCGGCACCGCATGTTCCCGCACCTGGAGTCCGTCTCTCCCCACCGGCACTCAGAGGCGGAGGGCGTGGAGAGCTCTTTGGGGGCGCGCGGGTGAGAGCGGAGGAGATGACGATAGAGAGGGGGGGGGCAGGGGTGTAAGGGGGGGGGGTAACACTGTAACCCCACCGGGACAGCACCAGCGCCTTCTAGCCCTCCGCGTGTGCCGCGCGTGACTTCCCACTCACTCACTCACTCCTAACCCCCCTTCCGCCGCTCCTCCTTCCTTCTCATCCCTCCACTCCTATTCACTCCTCACCCCCTTCCTCCGTTCATTTCTTCCTCACTCGCGTCCACAGATGCCTCCTCCTGCCCCCCTTACCCTCGCGTGTTCCCCTCTGCAGATTCTACCGCTGCAGTTCCCCTCCCACCCACCCCCCACCCACCCCCCATCTCTATTTCTTTTTTTTTACGATCAGAGGAAACAAGAAGATGCTCGATGTAGTCGGCACTTTGCTTCGTTCATCATTTCGTTTTCTTTTAAATGCTTCGCTTTATGTAACCCCCCCCCCCCCCCCCGTTTACATGAAAAATTTCACAAGAGACTTCACGCTCTGCTCTCCTCCTTCTTACACATTCCCCCTCTCTCTACCCCCCTCCTCTCTCTCTACCCCCCCCCCCTCTCTCCTTACTCTATGTCGACGTCCTCCCTGTTTTCTATGTAATATTCATCCCGAATGATCTCCTTCAATGTCATCATTCTCTCCCTCTCGTCCATCCCTTCCCCATTCCCCCCCACATCCCTCTCTCCCTCCAATCACTGCTTCCCATTTCTCACATCTCTCGGTCTCATCACCATTTCACATCCACCAACTCCTCCCCCCCCCGGAGTCTATCTCATCAAACAAACGCTCCATCGCTTCGCATCCTTTCATCCCACCCCACACACCCTCACACTCTCTCATCAGTCACGCGACGGGAGGATCGAGGGATGGAGGGAGGGGGGCAGGCACCCCCCCCCCGCAGCCATCTCCCCCCTCCTCCCGTGTCCCCCATCGCTCGCATCGAGACCTCGCTAATGGTCACGCATAG